GGCTTAGTCGCCTAAGCTGGAGTTAGCTGTCAAACGGCAACCTATATCCACTATTACGAGCAAACAAACAAGAGAACGAACTAAACAGTGAGTTCCTAGCCTATTTGAGCAGCTACCCCGTGCCGTGCAGTTTCCCGTAAGGCACATTGGGCTCCGCCCGCCAGGCTTCAGGATTGGCCCTTCGGATTGCCCAGGGCTCGCCCTTGAATCTGTCCCACCCTGCACCTCGCAAGTCCCTGGGTCACTACTTCGCGTCACTACCCACGCACCAAACTCACCTTCTACAGTGCTTCGAATAATCGTACTACACCTACACTAGCGAGTAACTGAATATATTGCTAACAACAATCTATTCGGTGACACTACACTAGCAATAGGCTCCTCAGCAAGACTAGCACCTAAGCTTATAACACGCGAGTAAACAGAGTCAGAAGCACTAGAGTCAACAACAACATACATAGCATGACGAGTTCCTAAGAGATCAACTAACTGAGAAGCCGACATGGCCCACAGAGCAGGGCCGTACGTCTGAACAAGGGGAAACTAGTCAGGGGCAGGGCCGTCAACACTGTAGGCCAACCGAACTGTGTCAGTGAGCTGAGAAAAGCATTCACCCGGTGGGCGGTTGCGGCCACAAGGCTAGCCGCGGCGGGCACCTATCAGAACGTGATAGGTGTAGGGAGGGTGGACAACACCACGCTGCAGCTGACGTTGTCCTAACCCCTGCTCTGTTTGTGTTGCCGCTGGTGTCGCTGTGGCTGCTGCGAGGGGAGGGGCTGCTGCTGCTGCTGTCGCTGAGCCAGGTACCACGTCGGTGCTCCACCCCCTGCGGCTGACAGACCAGTAGGTGGCTGACGAACCCGGGCGTCACCTCCACCAGCTGCAGAAGGGGACTCACCGACCGCCGCACAAGGCGCTCCTCCAGCCCTTGATCTCCCGTGAAACAGTGGAGGGGGCACAGCACTAGAGGCAGAGGCTACCGAGCGGAGGTTGCTCTCGACGTCCTTTAGAGCAGAATCAAGGACGCCAATAGTGAGCTCACTAGGATGCTTTAGAATACGTGCGTCACGAACCGAAGCAAGGCGGTCAGGGAGGCTAGTGGCGATGAAATAGATAGTGATCGGCATAGGATGAGGGAGCAGTGCAAGCTGTGCGTCAGTTCAGGCAGCGCGAAAGCTTGAGTCCAGTGAGCGCAAGTGAGCGATCAGGTCAGCAGAGCGCTCAAACGAGGCAAGGTCGGGAAACAAGAAGGGGAGGAACAGGCGACCAAGAGAGACACTGGAAGGAGTAGCATAGCGGGCCTTGATCGCAGTCAGAAACTCACTAGCTGTGCGAACCTGTGAGAAACGGGTCTCCTCGGACTCAGAGAGGAGGCTGCTGAAGACGATGCAGGCCGCAGCGTCGCGTGATCTCCAGGCTGTCAAGTCAGCAAGCTGACGCGCAACATGCTCTCTGTCCTCAGGAGTAGCATCAAGGCCTAGGGTATCAGCATCGGCGGGCACGCGGAGTTTATCGGAAGCGTGCGCCCACAGGGACTCGTTCGCCTATACCTGAATCTCTAGGAGACGCTGCGCACGCTGGATCCATACAGAGAACTCAAGGGGCCTACCCTCGGCATCAATGCGAAGGACCCTAGGGGTCGCCATAGCGAAAGCAGAAACTACAAGGCCGGCAGGGCGCAGTGGCAGGCAATGGCAGGGCGACAAGCACGGCAACGAGACAAGCGGTTGGGCGAGAGGCGCGTGGGCGTGCGCAAGGGAGGTGCGCGAGCAAAAGTAGGCACACAGCGGACGCTAGAGGCACACGAAGGGCCAGCACGACGAGCTCTAAGGGCAGGCTCGCAAGCATGGGCAGGCATGGCGGGCACGTAGGGCAGGGCCGCGACATGCTCTAAGGGCAGTCGTGGTAGGTGGCACGGGCAGGCACGGCGGGTGTCACTGGAAGAGACGGCGAGCAGCAAGTCCAAGCCCCTGGCGGGCGCAAAACACAGGCACGGCGGGCGCAAGGGGTGGGCCCGCGGCGGGCGTAGCTGACAGGCGCGGCAAGGGCGAACGGGCATACGCGGCGGCGCGAAGGCAGGGCCCGCGGCGGGCCTGACGGGCGGGCGCGGCGGCGGGCGTAACAAGCAGGCGCGTTGGCGCTAAGGCAGGGCCTGTGGCGGCCCTGACGGCGGGCGCAGCAGCGGGCCTAACGTGCAGGCGCGGCGGGCCTAAAGGGCAAACGCGGCGGGCCTAACGTATCGAGAGTTAAGGAGAATGAGTAGTTTAAACTAGGGCCTAGGCTTAGTAGCCTATGCCCAACTAGGATATCGAGAGAGTTCGTGCCAAGGGTGAGATTCGAGTGAGTTGGGAAGAATGCTGTTTCACTATAGGTTTCGAAGAACATATAGCAAAGGAAACAAATAAGGTGCACCACCAAACAAAGTTTAAATAACTACACTAACTACAGCTACAGGCAGTTACAAATATAAGTTCTGACATAACGGGCAGGCACGGCGGGCCTAACGGGCGGGCAGGTAGCGGGCCTAACGGGCACGCGAGGCAGCGGGCCTGATGGGCGGGTGCGGCAGCGGCAAACGGGCATGCGCGGCGGTGCGAAGGCAGGGCCCGCGGCGGGCGTGACGAGCGGGCGTAACGGGCGCGTGCGGCGGCGCGAAGGCAGGGCCCGCGGTGAGCCTGACAGGCGGGCGCGGCAGCGGGCCTAACGGGCAGGCGCGGCGGGCCTAACGGGCAGGCGCGGCGGGCAGGAAGCGGGCTTAAGAAACATGCGCGGCACCGGGCCTTACGGGCGGGCGCGGCGGGCCTAACGCGCAGGCGCGGTGGGCGCTAAGGGCAGACGTGGCGGCGCGAAGAGCAGGCGCCCGGCGGGCGCTAAGGGCAGTCCTGCTGGCGGGCGCTTAGGGCAGGTGCGCGGCGGACGGGCGTATGAAAGGGGCGTTACTGCAGCGCTACAAGAGAGGACGGGACGGATGGGGCGCGGGAGGCTCGGGAGGCTCGGGCAAGAGGAACGGGATCCTACAGGATCCTAGCCTATGCGATACCATGTCAGAAACTGAATTGTGTGTTCATTGATGTGGGTTGGGGTACATATCGCAAACCCTAATATTTGTACCCCCTTAAGACAAGCCTCACTGCAAGCTACATCATTTAACAATAACGTCCCGAAGAATATCCCTTTTTGATTACAAAAATTTGAAGGTTATTTCTACTTCCCAAGAAAAAAAACTGAAACCCGTTCGGATGGGATTTTCTTTGAGAGACATCAATCCTAAACACCTTGTCGCTAAATTTGATTCCTCCCAGAGGGGGTGCCATCCTTAAGGGGTTTATTTTTCTTTTCTTTAGTCCCATAAATGTTAGGCTAGAATCATGCGCGAGGTAAGAAGTAATCAGGATTGGGATCCCCCCAAATCTTAACAGTTTCTATTGTTGGTTTCAATTGATTATGCTCATTTCATCAAGTGACCGAACGTGACAGCTTTTCGGGGCGAGTTGTTACCATCCGTGATTGCACTGTGATCATCCACGATAGAAATACAGTGCACTGTGACAGATCGTGATAACCCTGTGTCCAAACGTGATAAAACGGGCAAAATTGTGACTCTCCGTATAATCTCCCATATGTAAAATAATGGTGAATCTTACATGCCAACACGGCCTTGTGTGTGCATGGTTTGGCAAATGCTAGCACGCAGTGCAACTAGTACTGGTGGCTGGTAGGCAACAACATGGTCGACGTCCGGTGTACATTGTTAAGCACAATGAAAGCAGATGGTGTATAAGAAAGTCGAAACTCTCTTGTGTTAGGTTGAAAACGTAATGTTGTTACAATCCCAAGTGGGACTTGCGAAGGATCGCTCAGGGTTGATCGCAGAGTAGTGTTGCAGCGGAAGTATTGACCTCAGGTCAGTGAATGTAAATGACTAAGATTGATAATAGCATGCATACATCGAGTCTACATAGGAAATACAAACGAATGCGAAACAACCTAGACTAGCCATGTACTCTAAGGGGCACATTCCCTTATTCCAGCGAAGTTCAAACTGCGGGTGTCAAACTCATATGCTATAGTCTGTGTAGGCTGTAGTGGGGTAGACAATATTGGGTACAACACTTTTAGGTTTTCCTACTTGTACCCACCTGCTTGCTAGTTCATTCATTCCTCATTTCTTCACATGGTTTAGAGCAGGTTCCCTAGTGGGAACTTTTCCTAGGGCCCACTACTGAAAACCGAGTTTTCTTTCTTTTTCATGCCCTGAGATCGAGTCGCCCCTGACCAAGGCGCGCCCTGTGTGCCGCCCTCCCCTTCGCGACCCGTCGGGCCGCCCTTAGCGGCCCCGTTGCCCCCTCTCACGGCCCCTCGCGACCCCGTCGCCGCCCCCTAGCGGCCCGTCGCGCAGCCCTGAGCGGCCCGTCGCGCCGCCCTGACCGGCCCGTCGCGCCGCCCTCGGCGGCCCCTTGCGCCCCCACCTCCACGGCCCCGTCGCCGCCCTCTCGTGGCCCCCGTCGCCGCCGTTCACGGCCCCGCCGCTGCCCTTAGCGGCCGCGTCGCCGCCCGTTGCGGCCCTGCAACCGCTCCTCGCGGTCTCATCGCCGCCCTCTCGCGGCCCCAGTGCTGCCCTCTTGCGGCCGCGTCGCCGCCCTCTCGCGGCCCCAGTGCCGCCCTCTTGCAGCCTCGTCGCCGCCCTTAGCGGCCCCGTCGCCGCCCCTTAACGGCCCCATCGCCGCCCCTTGCGGCCCCATTGCCGCCCCTTTTCGGCCCCTCCCCGACCCCTTCACCGCCGAGCCACCGAGCCGCCAAGCAGCCGAACCGCCGAGCCGCCGAGCCGCCGAGGCCGCCGTCGAGCCGCCACTACCGAGCCGCTGCCGCCGAGCCGCCGTCGAGCCGCTACTGCCACTGCCGAGTCGCTGCCATCGCGGTTGCACCCCTGTTCCTACCGGCGCGTCCCGGCCCTACCCACCCGGACTGGTGAGAGCACACCCTGCTAGACCACAGCTGTCATGGCTACCCCCAATGTCCTTACCTTAGATGCTGAGGGTCGTGTTGTTCACTTCGAGGTCTGGGTCCATGACCTACACCTCTTCCTACAGTACGATAGGGCAGACGGACTCTCCCTGTTCGATCTCACCTCTGGTGCCTCTCCTGCCCCGCCTGCTGATGCTGACAGCATTGTTTGCTCCCGGTGGGCCACACGCGATGCTGCTGCCCGTCTTGCTATGCGTCGCCATTTACCGACTGCTGAGCGTGCGCACTTTAGTCTGTAGAAGAGTGCTAAGACCTTGTACAACGTTGTAGTTGCACGCTACTCTTCCCCTGCCACTGCTGCTCTTAGCCACCTCATACTGCCATACCTGTTCCCTTACCTTGCTGCCTTTCCCACAGTCGCTGACCTCATTACGCACCTTCGCACTAGTGACACTCGCTACCGCGCTGCGCTTCCTGCTGAGTTATGTGCCAAGAACCCCCCCCCCCATGTACATCACCCTCTACTACATAGTCATCCGGCTCCCTGACTCCCTTCGCTTAGTCAGGGACCACTTCCTCTTAGTTTGCCTCACCACACTCACGGTTGACCTCCTCGAGGAGCGCCTCCTGGCAGCAGAGAAGAGCATAGTCGCTGTAGGAGCCTCTAATGGTGACCCTCGTACCCCCGTATTTGAGGGGTGTTCCCCCTCCCCCCTCTTGCCCTCTGTTGCTTCTGCTGCTGTAGCCGACCTCGTTGGCTTCGAGTCAGACGGAGCTGCGTCTGCCCCTAGCGGGAGATGTCACACCGGCAAGGGCAAGGGGGGCAAGGGCGCTGGAGGGGCTGGCGGGGGCGATGGAGGTGGCGGTGGAGGCAGTGGAGGGGGTGGGGGTGGTGGTGGGAGTGGTGGCGGGGGTGGAGGTGTCGGTGGCAGCAGTGGAGGCGGAGGAGGCGGCGGCGGTGGCGGTGGGAGCGGAGGCGGCGGTGGCAGCGGTGGAGTTGTTCGCGGCTCTGCGCAGAGGAGTGACTCCGTTGGTGGTCCGCGCCAGCTGCAGAGTGCACTCGTGAGACCCCGTCCCCCCAGCAGCTTCATGAGTGGTACGCTGCGCGTCAGCGAGGTGGGGGTACTGCTCCCTGTACCTACGTCCTCCGTACCGGCGACCGCGCTGGTGAGCAGTGCAGGGGCTCGCACTCCACCCAGCGCTGCTTCGGCCGCCTGACGAACGCTTGGCGTCACAAGTTCCCTGACGCCACTGAGATCCCTCGCTGGGGAGAGCTGTCTAGGGCAGGGGTTGCTATCTTTGATCTTGACTTTGATGCTATATTTGCTGCCATGTATGCTGTGTTGACTAGTGATGAGGGTGATTGTTGCTTGTGTGTTCCGCCTGACCCGGGCATTGGGACTGCTGCTTTAGGTGCTGGTGAGGCTGCTGCTCTAGGTGCTGGTGAGGCTACTACTCTCGGTACTAGTGAGTCTGTTGCCCCAGATGCTGGTGAGTCTGCTCTCTCAAGTACCACGTCGGCTCAGGCCTCCCACACCTTCACCCTTGACTTGGGTGCTTCGCGCACACACTCACGCCGCTTAGTCGGCCGGTGGCGGTCGCTTTGGCAGACCCCTCCGCGGGTCCTTTCCTTGCCCATTTCTCCACCGTCTTACCGTGTCCGGCGGCACCCTCTAGCACCTTGTCAGGTCTTTACCTCCCCTCGTTCTCTACGAACTTGGTGAGTGGTGCAGATCTACAGGATGGGGGGGTTCACCAGTTCACTCCTGCGAGTCAGGTCTACACACTAACTACTGGTCCTCCTCAGTCTACTACGTCTGGTCATGTAGCTGTGTCGGGTCAGGCGTCTGCTGCGACGTCCAGGTCTGGTCCTGAGTCTGCCCCCTGCTCGTGTCGCCTCCTGTCTCACGAGACTCTCCTCTGGCACCACCGCCTTGGTCACCTCTCCCTGCCTCGTCTCCAAGGCATGGCCTCCTGTGTCCTTGTCTCTGGTCTCCCCCGGTCCCTCCCTCCCCTCCCTCCGGGGCCTGCCCCTACTTGCGTTCCCTGCGTCGAGGGGCGGCAGCGCGCCGCCCCTCACTCCTCTGAGTTTCCTCCGATAGAGGCTCCCCTACAGACTCTTCACATGGACGTGTGGGGCCCCCATCGTGTCCGTGGCCAGGGTCACGAGCGTTACTTCCTGTTGGTGGTTGACGACTACTCGCGTTACACCACGGTCTGGGGATCTCGGGCGTTTATCCGCGTCTTGTCTGAGGACAAGCTGTACACCCGTGCGGTTACCTGCGTCTTCCTTGGCTTCCCCCCTGACGCGCCTGGTTGGAAGTTTTACCACCCTACCTCGCGACGTGTTCTGTCTTCCTAGGACGTCACGTTTGACGATTCTGTTCCTTACTACCGTCTCTTCCCCTACCGCACTGCGCCCCTCCCCCCGCCGCCGCTCTTCCTTGCGCCAGGCCCCACCCGGTAGACCCCCTCCCCCCTCAAGGTCTTGCCCCGTCAGGTGTGTCCCAGGTAGACGCAGTCGAGCCTGTCGAGGTAGCTGTTGAATCTGGTACTGCTAGGGGTGCTGAGCCTGGGGGTGCTGAGTCTGGGGGTGCTGAGCCTGGGGGTGCTGAGTCTGGGGGTGCTGGGCCTGGGGCTGCGGAGCCTGGGGGAACGGAGCCTAGGGGTGCTGAGCTTGGGGGTGCGGAGCCTGGGGGTGTTGGGTCGGCTCGTATGGCCTCTGGCGGTGCTGGGTTTGGGGCCCCTTTGGGTACTTCCTCGAGGCCGGAGCTATCCTCTCCACAAGAGCTGCGCGAGTGGTTTGCCTGGCGCTGGAGGCGTGCTGCTAGAGCTGGAGGTGCTACTAGTACTGGTGACCCTAGGGTCGGCACTTGAGCTACTGGAGCCACTGGTCCTGGAGGTGCTCGTACTCGCATCATTGGAGCTGCCGGGCCTGGGGGTGCTGCTGAGACTGCTGGAGCTGACGGTCCTGCTGGAGATGGAGCTGCTGGAGCTGGAGCTGGAGCTGGAGCTGCTGGGGGTGTTGGTGCTGGAGGTGCTGCTGGCGCAGGTGTTTCTGAGGGTGCTAGAGTTGGCGTTGTTGGAGCTGGAGGTGCGGCTGGCGCTGGTGCTGCCGGTGGGGGTACTCGTGCTGTCCCTGCTGGTTCTGGAGGCGCTGCGCGGGCGCGGCCGTACTTCGTTGCGCTCCTTGAGCAGGTTCTTGGTCTCCCGCCCTCTACTGGTCCTGCTCCTCCCTTAGAGTGTCCACAACCTGTCCAGTCGCGGTCCCAGTTACAGCCCGCCTCCCCCCTACCTGCTCCTTCTCCCTACACTGGTCCTACTAGAGGTCTTGCTGAGCGTCGTGAGCCTGCGTCTCGTCCTGCGTCGCCGATTCGTGCTGCTCGCACTAGTAGTCGTGCTCCGCGTTCGCGTCCTCCTGCGGTCCCAGGCACACACCAGATGGCACTTCGTCCTTCCACTGCTCCTCTGCGTGTCTCGTTGCCATCTCCTCCAGAGTCCTCTCTTCCTATCCTTACTGACCCGTAGTCTGACTCTCTTCATGCTGCCGGTCCAACTGTCACGCGTCTCCTGGCTACTGTTGTCACTGACCCTTCCTTTGAGTCCACTGCTGCGTCTGCCTTGGTTGCTGAGCTTGTCGACTTTGCTGCTCGCTGTCGTCTAGACTACGCTGCTAGTCTTGTTGCTGAGTCTGAGTCTGTCTATACTCCGTCCGTCGGGGGTGAGTGTGCTCTTAGCACGGACGTCCTTGAGGACAGGCAGGAGGAGTTCCAGTGTTTTGCTGCTGCTTTGCCTAATCTCGTGTCCACGCTGATTGCCCCTGAGGGAGACTCGGATGCACCAGACATTCCAACTCCTCGATCGTACGCTGAGGCGATCAAGGGTCCCTACTCCTCACAGTGGAAGTCAGCCATGGACGCAGAGATGGCTTCCTGGAAGTCCACAGGCACCTACGTCGACGAGGTTCCCCCACCTGAGGAGAACATCGTCAGTGGCATGTGGATTTTCAGGGTGAAGCGGCCGCCGGGTTCTCCGCCTGTCTTCAAGGCGCGCTACGTGGCTCGAGGCTTCAATCAGCGGTAGGGAGTTGACTACTTTCATACCTTCTCTCCCACCCCGAAGATGACCACTCTTCGGGTGCTGCTACACATAGCCGCTCAACGCGACTACGAGCTTCACTCTCTTGACTTCAGCTCAACTTTCCTGCAGAGCAGCCTGCACGAGGAGATCTTGTTGCGCTGCCCACCTGGCTTTACTGGGTCGTTTCCTCCTGGTACCCAGTGGAGCCTCCGGCGGCCAGTCTACGGTCTCCGCCAGGCGCCCCGTGAGTGGCACGACACACTGAGGACTACACTTGCGGCTCTTGGCTTTGCTCCTTCTACTGCCAACCCGTCGCTGTTTCTGCGCACCGACACCTCTTTTACGCCGTTCTACATCCTCGTGTACGTTGACGACTTGGTCTTTGCCACTGCTGACAATGCTGGATTAGCCCACGTGAAGTCCGAGCTTCAGAAGAGACACACGTGCATAGACCTGGGTGAACTGCGCAGCTACCTTGGCTTGCGGATCACCCGGGACAGAGCACAGCGCACCATTACCCTGACTCAGTCACACATGGTGCCGCAGGTCCTTCAGCGCTTCAACTTCACGTACTCCTCGCCTCAGGCCACTCCTCTGTCTACTCGCCACTCGCTCTCGGCTCTGCCTTCAAATGAGTCCGTAGAGCCGAGTGGCCCGTACCCAGAGCTTGTTGGCTACCTCATGTACCTGATGACCTGCACACGACCTGACCTTGCATACCCTCTTAGCATTCTTGCACGCTATGTTGCTCCTAGGAGACACCGACCAGAGCACATGGCTGCAGCGAAGAGGGTGTTGCGCTACTTGTGCAGTACGTCGAGCATGGGGCTAGTGCTTGGAGGGCGGAGTCCAGTGGTCCTCACTAGGCACGCGGACGCTTCTTGGGCTGACGACCAGGCTACTCAGCGGTCGTCAGAGGGTTACACCTTCAGTCTTGGTTCCGGCTCTGTTTCGTAGCAGGCTACTCGCTCGTCTTCTGTTCTCGGCTCCAGTTGTGAGGCTGAGATCTACGCCGGGGCCATGGCTGCACAGGAGCTTCGCTGGCTCACCTACCTGCTGACCGACCTTGGAGAGCCGCCTCGTTCTCCTCCAGTTCTGTACGTAGACAACAAGACCATGCTGGCCTTGTGTCCGGAGCACAAAGTGGAGCACAGAACGAAGCACATTGCTCTTCGCTACTTCCTTGCTCGTGAGCTGCAGCAGCGTGGTCAGCTGCGCCTTGCTTACGTGGCCTCTGAGGCCAACACTGCTGATATCTTTACCAAGGCACTTGCGCCTTGTGATCATCAGCACTTCTGTACGATGCTAGGTCTTGTGCCTACTTGGCCTCACTTGCTCACTTCTTGACCTTGCTTGTACTGTGATCTTTCTATACCTGCACTTGCTTGTTTACCTTTATATATGATCTTGCATGTGAACTGACCTTGTTTCCTTGAACTTGTGCTCGGAATGTGTGGTGACGTTGTGATCCACCCTGAGCTTGCTTTGCTTTGCTTGACTGGTCTTGTGACCCCTTGTTCTCCCCCACTTTGCCTATCGGGGTGTGTCAAACTCATATGCTATAGTTTGTGTAGGCTGTAGTGGGGTAGACAATATGGGGTACAGCACTGTTAGATTTTCCTACTTGTACCCACCTGCTTGCTAGTTCATTCATTCCTCATTTCTTCACATCGGGAACCTGTTCTAAACATGTTCCCGCTCTTTTCGTTTCAAATGTTTCTGTCTGCATCGGTCTTGGTTAAATGGTTAACAGCGTCGCTTCAACTCTTTTGAATCCTCGACTTCGTAGTCGTTCGAGTCGGCTCCTGTAGCCTACAGAAAGATCTTCTCATAGAATTTCATATCGTAACAAATCTCTCTGTGATAAACACGAGCGCCTTACATTGGTGGGTCTAATACATATGGAATTATGGTAATTGGAACGTACCCCTTCAATTTGGGCTTTTAACTAAAAAATGTTTTCTTCTAGTGTCAGATTTATATGACATAGCTATTGTAGGCTATAATGGGGTAGCACATATGGGGTACAGCTTTCTAGGGTTTGTATTTGTACCCAACTTTCACTTTGTCATTTCATACTCGTTCTAGTATTTTCATGGTATCGAGCAGGTTCCCTCGTGGGAACTGTTCCTAGGGCC